GGTCTTGTGCGCAAACACCTAGTTTTGGAAGACTCAAATAATTCATTTTTGTGATTTCGAAGGTGTTGTTCACATGGGATGGGATAATGAATCCACTCAATACATGTTTTGTTAATGTAGTGTTTACTGATCAGTTTGATAAGCATTTCCTGATGAATTGTTAGAGCGTGTCCTGGTTTTCCATGTCCTGAGTATTTTGTTTGCGTTTTCGAATAATATGACGATGCCACAACATGTCTTCATAATTTGAAGTAGAATGGAATGAATATATTATTCTCACGTGATAGCAATAATGAGTGGATTATTCGAAAGATCATGTTGAATGAAGGCATTCTCTATGTGTATCTATATAATCTGCACAATTTATAAGTATACAATAGAGTGATAGTCGATGGACATTCGAGGAAATGAACTTCAGTTTTCACAATATCCATTCTGTTATCGCTTTTCATTCGATTATGACACACAATCAAATTAGACATAGAAATTCACGATTTATTTTCATAACTAAAGAGAGATGGTGCCTAACTGTGATTCATTTATGTGTATTCGATCGCAAACGCCTGGGTATCAAGATATTTTAAGTTGAATTACACTTTCACTGAAGATAAAACATTATTCAGTTTAGATATCATCTCAGAATCTATATACCCTACATATGTACATAGATGTCAGTTATTTGCAATGATGTCTCGTTGAAACATCCATACATTTTGTCATAGTCAGATGATACATCTTTTCTCTATACCTCTGAACAGTGTGACAGATGAAAGGTTGCATTACATCACAGGGTTGTGTAATGATAGAAATATTAGTGATCATTTCTATATTCTTTGGAATTTCGTCAGAATAACATTGATCACATTGTCATATGTTAAAAGTATCGATTGAACACAAATCTTATATGATTTCGTGTACACGAAATTCAAAAACTGTGTTTCATACACACAATTCTCTCTGCAGGTCATCCATGTCATGTGTGATGCTGTTGCTCATCGGAAACAATAGAGTATGGTAGCAAAATGTTGTTGCAGAGTCTCATTCTTGGACGTAACGGTCGTTGATTGCTTTCAGTTTTTCAATGTTCGTCTAACATAATTCGATTCACCACCTCAATTAATCATAATCCGTGGAATATAAGTATAATTAGTAATGGTAGAAGTCAATGATGATTCGGAGTATTTGAATCATGGCATCAACTTAGAATCTCAGAAACAACGCAATTTAACTAAGAAGTTCCAGATAAGCACGAAAGAATGTAATGTATTTGGAATTCGAATCAAGCAAGCAATCACGTACAAAAAGAATCCTTAGTTCATACAAACACC